ACCATTACACCCCCCCCCGTCCATACCCCCAGCGACCAAAGAAATGACTCAAGCCCGCACGGGGTACCCGCCTGTAACCAAGAAAAATCTGCATAGAGAAAAAGAGGCTCAATTCTTGAAAAATGTTTTAAAAGTACCACAAAAAACATCCAAAGCGAGGCTCTACGCATTTTTCCTGAAAAGTACTAAAGAAACTGAGGTGAACCACACAGCTCCGCCGTGGCTACATCCTATACGGCAGAATAACGCTGGACGGTAGCGACTAGACTAATCAAGAAACTGGGTGGTGTTGACCCGAAATCGGCGTTTCCTCATACAAAGCGAGGCGGCACTGGAATGTTGCGGCCTTCGTTGGTTTCCGATTCATGTATGTAGACTACTTTTTCGGGGAATGGTCGCGCTCAGCGACGGCGACAGACTACGAAATGATAAATTGACAGACACGACCACACAAAGAACTGATTCTACGTCGTAATCACTGGATGGGGGCCCCCGCTTGGAGGCTTCGGGAAGCTGGACTCGAACCTAGGAATAGGGTTATCCCCCCACCATCGCTCCAACCTCAATCATGCCGTACGTACGCCGATCTGTATATGTACACGGTGGTCATCACATAAGCTACGCTATCGTACATCTTTGCTCTCACCACGCCGGATATGCACACTATTTTACTCCCCACCCACCCATCATACAGACCGACTGTAGACGCTGGCTCGCGACGCGCTCACTGCTGCTTTCGCGCATGGCGGAAGGAGGAAAGAGCGAGTGCCCTCTAAAAACACAACACTCCCGAACTCGCGTACTATACTACATGCCGCGTTGTCAACTGTCGATGCGGCAGACCCCGAGCAAGGCCCTGATGCCGGCGCCGAATCCCCTCTTTTCTCTCTCTCTCCCACGACTGAAGAAAGTATAGATACACCCTGACTGCGTAGCATACCACGCTTGTTTGCGCGAAACCTAGCCCACATGCCGACGAACAAGGACGAGGAACAACAAAGCACGTCTTCCAACCACACAGAGGCATGGAAATTCAATCCCTGACGCGGGAAATACACGCAGGCCGGTTCGCCACACTTCTCGATGAAAGATGCTTCGTTGAACAAGCTGGGAACGGTTCCCCGACGGCCAGAAGAAGAAAAACAAAACAAAGAAAATCGTCGAAAATGGTGGCAGCGCCCCTTCGAGTGTTGCGCTCCAACCAATCGCTCAGATGGCTCGGCTTATGGAAACAAGGTGAAACGGCATGAACGACTACCGAGAAAAATTATACACAAGAGAGGCAGCGCGGACACATACGGAAGCGGGTTCCGTAACAACGCGCTAGTCTAATTGGACTTCTCATTGGTTCGGGGGTCAGCGCGCGGGGTGGACAATGTTCCGCTGCCACAACAAACGCGGTGCAAGGAAGGCACCCAACCACCCAGCGAGCGGACAGTCTCTCGGAAGCGCCGGCATTGCTCCTCCTCGGCAACACATGGACGCCCCTTTGACCTCCCTCCCCCTGTAGGTGGGGCTGATCCATCCAACCATCTATATTCCCCTTGCCGCCCGCCTATCCATCCATTCACATTCTGAAGCGGGCATACCCCCAGCTTCCTCCCCC